TGCACAATGTGCAGAACAACAGTGGATGCATTCGGTCTACTGTGACAAGAATTTGCCTTGAGACGAACTAAAAAGCCTGGCTGTCACATCATTGGTCTCGTCCTCAAAGGACTGATTTTGTGCAAACCAGATGTGGGGAGTGGGAAGGCTCTACAAAGGAAGTTGATAACTCTTGTTATGAGAATTTTCTGACATGTTTTAATAAAAACAAAGTGCACTCAGCAATAGCTTTTCAATAAAGTTTTATTGAAAGGTACAAATACATAGGTTAATCAGATGGTGTATTCAGTCATTTTGAATTTGAGACCACATTTTGTTTTGTCACTAAAATCAAACTAAACAGGGAAACTGGCACAGAAAATGCGATATAAATTTCAACCTGAATTTCCACTGCAATGACCTTTTTTGGGGTTTTCTGAGTGCTCTCTAAAAAACTAACAACTTAACTCAGTATATTTGTGGCGCTTCACACGGTGTCCACAAATTAAGAGTTGGTGAAAACAACTCATCTGTAACCGTTGGTAACGTTTCATCTCAAACACTGATGAGCTGTAGATAACAGGATCATCACTAGCTTCATTTCCCTGGTACAAACCAGAGCTCCCTCGCCTTAACAAAAAAAAAAAAAAAATCATCACCTTGGGTAGGAGTGTGCATTCAGGACAGCTTAGCAACCTAGGGTGGGAGTGAAGGACTTTGGGCCCGATCTTTTGGTTCCATTTTTTTGCTGTTCACAAAATCCCTCTCCCTCCTCTTCCACATGGTGGACTGAGGACCTAGGTGGTTCTATACTTATTAGCTTAAAACCAGCAACCCGTTCCAGGGAAACACCAAACACCGTGGTACGGATTTAAACAAGAACATACTAGACACCTGTGCAAACGGCTCAACCAAGAAAGTAAAACTTCAACCTTTCTGAGGAAGAATTACTCCTTGTCATAGGGAAAGAAAAATGTGTGTCTGATCAACATATGATTACAAACTTGAGGGATAAAAAAAGAAAAAAAAAAAAAAAAAAAAAAGGGGGGGCATTTCCTTAAAGACATCCATCATCACAGATGAAGGTCTCTAGGGAAAATAAAGCTGGAGCTGTAAGTGGGTGACCATACTGCATGTTACATCCAGTCAAAGGACAAAGATGTAACAGTGGTAATGTTGTAATTTTTCTTTCCATGTCAAGTCACCCACTTGGACGCCTAGGTTTTAACAAGCTGACTCAGGTATGGTGGGAAGGTGAGTGATCTTGTAGTAGCTGTGCTTCAGCTGACGTGCAGTTCTTCCTGAAATAGTCCAGCGAAGTCTCTGGACGTTTGGCCTGCAGCACTTAGTGGTGGCGTACTCAGCCAAGCATTTTCCAACTAGCTCCCGCATGCAAACCAGATCCCCGTCTTTGATCTGCAGGAAAGAGGAGTCGCATCTTTCTCTGCTTAACACTTGGCAAGAAGCATTAAAATTCATTAAGCTACACTGCATCACCACCTTATATTAACTGTGACAAAAACACTAATATGCAATAATGTTAAAAACGAGCCATTTTGGTTTGAGTTGAGCAAAGGCTCATTTTGATAGTTTTTCCTACTCTGACCTGTATGTTGATAAGATGGACCTATTCCTAATAAGGCACACGGGTGTAGCCATGAGCACACAAGTCCCACTGACCTGTTGTTTAAACCTTCTGCCTGCTAGGGGCAACCAATCAGAAGAACGTTGGCATAAAGGGCTTGTGTCTTCTGAGGCCCAGTTTAAAATAAGGATTAGTTTGAACTGCTCGTATATATTCTTTAAAGCAAAAGGCTCAGAGCTGGACTTACATTTAGCTGCTGCTGCAGATTGCTCAAGGCCTCAGATATTTTGTCAAGGTACTCTGGGTCATGTTCATCATGGGCCTCAAAACACAGGAGAGCCAGGGCAAGCAGAGATGGCTGCACAGAAACACAAACAGTCTCTTGTTAAAAAAAAAGAAAAAGAAAAAAAAAGTAGAAACTATGATAACATTTAAAAACAAATCGACACAGATGACCTACATTATACCTGAGATACAACAACAAACGAGAAGTGTACAAGACAAAAGCAGTCTGATTTTTAATGAAAAGCGCAGAAAAGCATTGAAATAAGTCATTATTTTCAATGTGGAGAGAGTAGTTGTTTTGGCTTACCTTTATTTTGGAGAAGACAAATGAGCAGTGACAGGCTTTCAGCTGCGCCTCCAGTCTCTCAAGGCTCAGGATCTTCATGCTAAAGGGAAAAAATGCTTTTAGTGTCAAAGCAAACTGAATGTGAAGTACAGCTTACATAAATAGTGATAAAAAAGCCAACCAAAAGGATTTCTATTTTTTTTTTTTTTTTTTTAAAGGTAACGTTTGAAAAGGGGGGGGACTTGCATATTTGTTTTCTAACACCCTGTCACATGTCTAAAAGTCTACACGATTTCAAAAAGGACTGTGCCTGTTGGCTAAAAAAAAAAATATATTTTTTTGGTTAGTGTTAGCTTTCAAACCAAATATGAGAAGACACATTTTAGTAGAGTAAATATAATCTCGTTGAGTCATAGCTCAGCCCTGCAGGTTGGTGTGACCGTCTGTCCTTACCTCTCAGTGTCGAGCTGCTCCAGGACGTGGCTGTGAAAGACGCGGAGAAAGCGCAGGGCCGTGGGAGCCTTCACCTTCCAGTAGAGCTTCTCCATGATGATCTTCTCCATCCTCATCATGTCAGACACTGTAAAGCGATTCTGACTGATGCGAATCAGGTCATTGGCCAGAGGCACGTTCTTCTCTTCTTCTGTGGACTTCACAGCGATGTAAAAGCAGCACAGACCGACACAAGGAAGGTGCTTTGGCTGAATCTGTAGGAGATGGGGAAATGGATATTGGAGAACGGAACAACTGCTACGATTTTAAGAAAGTAAGCAAAATGTACTGCATTTACAAACCTTCATGACAGACAGAAATCGGTCCAGCAAACTGACAGCCAGCGAGAAGCTCTCTGAACTGAAACCGAAGAACCTGGTCAGTGAAAGCAGGTCCTTCACCTCCAGCTCCCTGAGTCGGGAAGTCATCCTGAGGCCATTGTCCTGGGCGCTTTCAATGAACCTCAAGCCACTCAGCTTTGGTTGGTATCGGCCCTCCAGATCAATCAGGGCCTTCAGCTGAGCTGCAAAGGGCTGTGCCACAGGGCCTGTTACTGTGTCAATCATCTGCACAGACATGAAAATAAAACTTAGTGATACAGTAAAAAAAACAAACAAACAAAAGATACACTGGAATTAACTGTGTGACCATAAACTGTGTATAAAGTATTAACATAACTCTGATAAACATCTTAGTCTCTTTAATAAGGCAAGGCTCTGTCTGCTACGTAATTGAAATATTAGACTGGTGTATTTAAAGGACATCTAGTCCGAAACAAAAATGGTTAAACAAATGCAGTGACCGTAGTTTACTAACAAGATCCTGCAACAAGCCTTCCGCTAACACATGCCCGTCACTGAACTGGACTAAACTGGACTGGACAGGAGCAATGACTGTATATAAACAGGAGGCGAAATGAGACGAACACAGAACAGGGATATGCTTCAAAAAGTTTCTCCGTTTTTAGTTAAAGCGACATTTCTGCTACTAAAAGTGTGTAAAACACGAGTTCCACAGCTTTAGTGCTAGTTTGTGAGTCCACATGTAGCCGTATCACAGCAGCAGGCCTTGTGTATGTCAGGGCAAGGACCGGCGTCATGTCGAGACATGTCCCTGCCATACACACCAAAGGAGAGCTAACGCAAAGCATGGCACAGCAAACCAAAGTGACAGTACACAGTTTAAACAATAAAGATAAGAGTGAAACAACAACATAAGTCTGTAAGTACTATGTAAGTTAAACTTCATACTTTATTAGAGAAACCAGAAAATGACAAACTACTCTTTGTTGACGACGTAAACTGTTTAGCAATCAAAGCTAACGCTAGCTAAAAATCCATTTCTAAAACTAGTAGCATTTTTTTGGCTGATAGCAACACATCATTTACTGTTTAGAGCCACGAACACCACTAGATAAAAAATATATATATATCATATAAGGAAAATGGGTTTACTTACCTTAAACAGTTACGTTGCTTTTTGTATTAAAAAAAAAAAGAGCAGGTGAAAAAAAAATCCACGCGCTTCAAATAAGCGGGTGAATGGAGAAATAAAACACACAAAAGTGTAAGTATGAACTTTCACTAAAGAAAGTTTTAAGCATAGGTTAGTTTCTGCCTATGCACACCCCCCTACCCTTGGCGTAAGGCGATGGGGAAAAGGACAGTTAAGGCGTTAAAACAGGCATAAAACCAAGCCCATGACCAACCATGCCGATTTTCTATTGGTCCTCAACAAGTGACGTTACCAGCTCTACATTTTAGTTGGATATTTAACTAGCTAGTCACATACAAGGTCCACCCCATTCATGCATTAGGGCCAATCGCACGTCAGAAGGTGGGATACGACCCAAAATAGCGTCGTAATAAAGTTGCCTCCTTTGGTATATAAATTATATTGGATTAATTTTTTAAAATTCATTAATAAATAAATACAGATATACAAATTATATCAACATTTACACAGTAATGTCTTTAGTGGGTAGTAAAATAGATTACATTTTTAAAAGGGTGTCGAAATCATAGAAAACTATTTAAAAAAAGAGACACACACGTACACAACTGGAAAGTTTCTGGAACAATCTGGAAGGAACCTGCATTATCCATCACTCCTTTGGTCTTTTCTGTCTAAAAATCAAAGTAAATATAGAGAGTACACAGTTCATTTTTCAATAAAGTAACTCTTTATTACATTAGGATTTGAAAATCTGCCAAGCAGGTCTACACAGACCCAGTATATAGATCTTATGACATAAAGAGATTTAATCCTGAATTTATATACAGTTTAAAATATGAAATCTCTCTCTGTAATATATATATATATATATATATATATATATATATATATATATATATATATATATATATATATAGCAAACACAACAGAGAGCTGACAAGTTAGTAGTACAGGGTACCATTTATAATTGGATATAAATAAAGAAAGCATATTTACTATAACTGTTTTAAAGTGCTTCTAAATCATAATGATTCACAATCAGTACCTTTAACAGCAATAATCATGTCAGTTTATAGTATATATTTCACAGTGTAACTTGTCATTTATCAGAAACCACAAGCATAACATAACAGACAAAAGTAGCACATTTAGTACAAAAGAAATTGGAAATTTTGGTATTGGAGATATTTTAATAAAAGCATACTTGCAGTTTAGGAGCCATGCAGAGACCATGCTACAGATCGCTGTTTAAAAAGAACATTGTTTAGTAGACATGGAAGACTTTGACTCACTTCAAGTGAAAGTTCAGCAAAACTTTTATTTTAACACTGTAAAAATAATAAACTTGAGTAGTTAGTCTGTGATCTTTAGATGTGGTAGAAAGTCTTCTAATTCAAATTCCTTCCTGAGGTTAGGGAGCACGCAGATGGGAGACTAAAGAAGCTATGAGAGGAAAGAAAAACCACATCATCATTTATCCAAACAAGCATCAGTCAGTAAAGGTCATGTGACAAATTCAACAACACTGCACATGTTGATTAAAAATAAATCATGTTGCTGGGTTTCCTGCTGCTGCCACTCACTGATATAAAAATAAAACAAGCAACACTGTTAAATAAATCAAAATCATCAGATGTGTTTTGGGCATGGCACGACACAACAGCTACAATATGAAATGCTTTGAGTGAACCAAAGGGCTCATGCGATGGAAGTCCCAAAGCACTGAGGCATTCCGATGGAAATGGGTTCAGGTGACACACAAACTGATGCTCTATTCTGTTTCCCATCATCTCTCTTTATTTAAATGTAAATGAAGACAAAGAAATTGTGTTCATTTCCAGATTCACTGTCAGTAAATTTAATCATGTTCTTCATAACGCTGCACAGAACACTGCTTAGGCAATTGAAAGATATCACCTGAGAAAAACAACAATTAAAAAAGATCAGTATATTCATATACATTACAAAGCATCTTGTGAATAAATGTATTAATATATACGTAAAAAGATTATTCAATATTCATTTTTTAATATAAAGTTCTGTTAGTGTCTCATTGAAAACCAGAGACTTAAATTTACAACTGAAGATGAACATACATTCTTGTCAAGAACATAAAACTACACAAGTTACATGTTATGAAAAACGTCCATTGATTTATTATTATGTGTTTAGCACAATCAGCATATGAAACTTAAATACACTGAACAAGGCTCCCTTTCTCATCCGTAAGATCGTTTTTCCCATGCTGATGGCACAAACATTCCTGGTTTCCACTGATGTTTGATCCATAAATCAACTGAAAGGGGAAAAGAAATATGACAAAATATGGCAAAAGAAACAAAAGGATGACGGATCTGAAATATGGCAGGAATCAAAAGTAAATAGTGAATGAATTGGAATGCAAGATTTTTTTTCTGTTGAAATATGCTGGCAGCTCAGCTCCCATTACTGACAGTTTAACATTTAAATCACATTTACTAACAAATATCCCAGAGAGACATTTAGCTGTGTGACAAGTCTGAGGTTTCTACTGTCTCTGAGTCAAGTCGCTCCAGTCCAACAGGAAAACACTGACAGCTTAACTCTTTATACACCAACAATGGCTATACACACTCACCAGCCACATTATTAGGTACACCTGTTCAGCTGCTCATTATTGCAAAATAACCCAAAATTGGACAATAGGAAATGGAAAATGTTGCCTGGTGTGATGAATCTTGATTTGTGCTGCAAAATTTGGATGGCAGAATCAGAATGAAGGCTGCTGGTGGTGTGGGGGATATTTTCTTACCACAATTTAGGACTCTTCTTATCTAGGCATTATTTAAACACCACAGCCTAACTGAATATGGTTGGTGACCATGACTATCTCTGTATGACGAGAGTACCCATCATCTGATGGCTCTTTTTAGGAGGATAACTGATTTCTTGAACATGACAATGAGTTAGTAAGTACAAAACCTCAGCACAATACCCCTGTACTATGGCCTCCATAGTCACCAGGTCTGGGGGGATGTAGTGGAATGGGAAATCCACATTGTGGATGTATACAGTGGTCCCTCGTTTATCGCAGGAGTTACGTTCTAAAAATAACCTGCGATAGGTGAAATCCGTGAAGTAGCCAACTTTATTATTTACAAATATTATAGATGTTTTAAGGCTGTAAAACCCCTCACTACGCACTTTATTCACTTCTGAGGCAGGCATGAACATTTTCACACTTTTCTCTCTTGTTTAAACATTCTCACAGTTCAAACCTTTGTAGAAAAATAAGTCCAGTATTATAGAATTAAACCAAAGATCAAACCCTAATTTCAGGTCCAGAACAGAACAGAATAGAGCAGCTGTGAGAGAATTTAACAGAATCAATTCAATTTAATTCAGTGTAATTCAATCATACGGAAGTGGAGGAAGCAAGAAGAATGAGTTGAGTAAAGTTTGACTTATCTGACTGTTTTGTTTTGCTTAATGCGCCTTATAATCCAAAAAATATAGTAACTTCTATCTTTCTTTAGCATGTCCAGAAGTGCAACTTTTTGTGCGATGGTTAGGATCTTCCTCTGCCTTTTGGGTGCTACCGCAGGTGCCTTTGACAGTGCAAAAAGTTTTGTCGACATTGTTGTGTTTGTTGGGGAGAAAACTTCCAAACATACAGTACAGCACTTCAGAGTCACGCTGCTAGCGATCGAAGATTTATGTAAATTTGACAAGCTAAACGCATTCTGTACTGTACAGGAGACACAACATGGAAGAGATTGATTGACAATGATCTACAGCCAATCAGGACACAGAACACAATGTGCTGTAAAAAATTAAAATTAAAATTAAAAAAAGCATGCAAAATTGCATGGAAAAAAAATCTGCGAAACAGCGAGGCCGTGAAAGGTGAACCGCGTTACAGCGAGGGACCACTATAGCTGACAAATCTGCGGGAGCTGGGTGACGCTAGTATGTCAATATGGACCAGAGGAACCTCTGAGGAATGTTTCTAACACCTTGTTGAATCTGTACCATGACAAATTAAGATGGTTTTTTGAAGTAAAAAGGGAGGTCAAGCTGGTACTAGCAATGTGTACCTAATGAAGTGCTCAGTGAGTGTATTTAAAAAAACAACAACAACAACAACCAGACTTTTTGGTTAGACAGTGACTTTAAATACTTTCCACTTGCAATCTTACCTTAAAGCTTCAGCTCACTCTTGTCTACAGTAAGATTTTTACAAACATTTCCTCATCTTTCATATGACATATTTAAAGGATTATTTTATAAATCCCTTTGTGTATATGCTTAGTGTACGAAGCTGTTAATTTTGAAATGCATAAAAATGCATTTATTGCTTTTTCAAAAACAGTGTTATAAGAATAGCAGGAAGAATTATTAAAACATTAAAATACCTGAAATCTCTTCATCCACCTCACATGTAATTATACTGGCTAAATGCCTCGTAAAATTTTACTGTCTGGAATACTGAAGCCCTTACCATTAATAGTAAATGTTTCCAAGAAACTCTGCTCACTCAGTTCTTTTCATTTTTCTATTTTACTGACTATTAAGACAGCTTTGGTGTGCTGTGTTTTACAAGGCTGATGCCAGGATCAAGCTGCATTTAAAGCATATGCAACATCATGATTACAGCTCTTTGCGGGATGTATGAGTATCATCTGTGCTCTGCATGGCATGAGCATCGGTGAGACCAGTCCAATGTAAACAGAACTGTCCCTGCCCAAGATACAGTCTGGCAGGTCAGCCTGCAGAGACATAAGCATCAGGCTGTGTCATCCAAGCTGTGACCCTTCCTACAGCGTCTGGGCACACAGTGTCAGTCTGAATCTGTCCCCGTATCCTTTTCTGAGCCAACATAGCCTCCGGGAAGATAACACTATCTCGTTAATCACGTTCTACTGCTCCCCCTTTTCCAAAAAACACCACAAAGACTGACCTCCATGATATGGAAGGTCAGTGAATATAATGTAGATTGACAATGGCTATCCATAAATAGCTTGATCTCAAGGTATTACTCATTGACTGTATTAACAGTTCTGCTGACAATCAGTGTGTGAATTAAGCAACCAGCACAAGGTAAATACAAACACATTAACTTACTTCTTCTTGTCTTTGTCCTTTTTGAATGGCTGCTGTGAGCAACCTTGGAGTGCCTGTCCCATCAGTGTCTCTGCTGCAACCTTCCTCCTATTGAAGGCATTCATCTCCTCCTCCAGCTCTCGTCTTTTCTCCTCCAGATTCTTCTTTTCTTCTTGGTGCATCCGCTTGAGCTGCTCAAACCTCTCATGAAGCTACAGGTGATGATAATATATATACACAGAGCAATGTCATACAAGCCAAATATGAGATATGATCACACAGGAGTTCTTTTATGACTTTGTTAATCCTCACCTCTTTTTCTTTCTCTTTCAGCTCAGCTTCTGTCTCCTTCACTTTGTTGACAAACATCTGTCTCATTTCTTCTTCTTTGCGCTGCAGCTCCACAATAAATTCCTTCCTCTTGGCTTCGTACGTCTGCTGCAGGCTGAAGATCAGGGTAAAGTCAATAATATGCTCACTTTACTGCCCTATAACTTCACACTTCGTTGAGCCATAAAATCTGTAGAGCAAACGCTGTAATGTTAACTACAGCTAGCAGAACTCATCCAGAAAAATGCTCTGCAATAGTAAAAAATAATAATAAACAAGCAATATTTTAACTCAACATTCAAAATTAGAAAACAAAACACACCAAATTATAAAACATTTTAACTGTGATACAGAGGGATTAATAGTTTTCAAGTCACATTCTTTATCTAAATCTCCTTAAAACGTTGACTTTAATGTGCTGTTTATGAATAATCCAAGTTATTTGCACATTTTTAACCTCATAAGAAAGCTAGAGTTTTGTTTTGGGGTTTTTTTTTGATAAAGTAAATTGCCCAGATGCATTTGCATCACTGCTTTCCCTAATTTCACCTGAACGACTGGCTGTCAGTGCCTGTGTCCTTGAAGCCCATCTCTTCCAGCTTGCAGCGACGGTACAGCTCATAGTGACGAGCGTGCGTTTGCTCCCGGAGATCCTCCATGTTCACACGCAGCACCATCTCCCTCAGCTTCACAAAATCACAATGCTTTTCGTTTTCCACTGAAAAGAAAAACTGGTCTTTTAATTGCTCATAAAATCCATCATGTTTATACCTAAAATAAATAAATAAATAAAAAAAAACTGGATTTGAGCAGCAGGCATCTGACTAAACAGCTCCCTCATGATGACTGCCAAACCATTTCAGCAGACTCACCCTCCACAGATCCCCAAGGGTACAGCCTTCCTTTCACCATCTTATTTCCTACTTTCACGTCGTCTACGCTTCCAACCACAGCAAACGGCAGAAGAGTCTGTGACAAAGAGTACTGATAATGTTAGAATATGGAGCTATTAATAATGCTGCGTCATATCCAGGATCCTAATATGCCATTATGCATTATATAATGTTTCTAAAAATACTGTTTCCTCACCAATGAACATCTATTTTCAAATGGCATGACAAAGTTGATTATCATTACATGTGATTATCAGCATAATATTAGTTAGCTTAAAAAAGAGAGAGCAAGTATGCAGATTAACCGATGACTACAACTAAGCATTAAAAAAGCATTAGGTACCAAATCCACGGTGCACATGTTTTTATGTTTATCTGTTTTTAGGACTCACATTCATAGAGGAGTTGATCTCTGCAACAGCCTCATCCTCTGTGGGAAACTGATATATCTGGACTCCATTGCTGACCAGCTCACTCATAACCTTGATCTTCAACTTTTCTAGCTCATTCCTGGACACAGTGTCTGCCTTCGCAATCACGGGGATGATGTTCACCTGAAGATAACCAGAAGATAAGTCATGGACTGAGTAATAACTGCTGAAATACACATAGCTTGGATCTCCTTTCACCTTGCTGTCCAGTTTCTTCATCGTGACGAGATCGAGGGACTTCAGAGAATGTCCGTTGGGGGCGATGAAATACAGGCAGATGTGGATCCTCGTGTCGTGGTAGTTAAACAGGGAGCGCTTTATTTTTAGCTCCTCTTCAAGAAACTTCGCAAACTGGGCATCGATATACTCAAGAATGGGTTTGTAGCTGCAGTAAAAAAAACAAACATTACATGCATGAACATTCAACTTCATGTTGTTCAACAGACATATCGGTAACCATGGTAAAAACTCTGTACACAGCCAAGCATGTTAGATGCGTACACTTCCTGCTGATGGAGCACTCAAACAGCAATTGAAACCACATTTGCTCTATCACTCACTCCCGGGTTCCCTTTCTTCCACTCCAATTAAAATGCCAGCAGCGGGGCAGAGCTGGCTCTCGATTTTACAATCGGAAATTGTTTCAGCATAAGAGAAAAATGGCAAAGTGATTCAGGGTTGGCACTGATCTATCAGGTTTATAGTGTAACCTCTGTGAATTTTCAAAGGTTTTCTTTGATTTCTAAACTGTTTCTTCCTCTTTAAAAAATAAAATAAAAGTCATTTTAACTAAAAGTCCATCATCACATCCATCAGCAACCTGTACCTCTGTTCTTTGTTGATCTGGTCTCCAAACCCTACAGTGTGTACAACAGTCAGCTTGAGGTTGACATTGCTCTCCCGCAGTTCATACGTGTGTGGGCGCAGCTCCACCATTTGCCCATAGTGGCTGGCTTCCTCATTTTCAAATGTTGTATTGAAAAGAGTGTTCATCAATGTGGACTTGCCGATCCCGGTCTCACCTTAAAAACAGACAGAAAAACAAGGAGCGAAAATTACAGATGAAGCAGAATGAGTGCATGTGAATTTCAAATGAACTCTTGTTATGGTTACAGGACTAAGTTTGAAGCTCCTCCTGGGTTCAGACATACCCACACAGAGGATGTTGAAGCAGAATCCCTGTGCAGATGCTTTGCTGACCAGCTGATCTGGAAGGCTGTCAAACCCCACATGGCCACTGAGCTCCAGAGTTCGCTTCTCTTCATTCTGAGAAATTACAATGAAAACAAAACCATATTCATCCTATGCTAGTAAATATCCAACAAAATAAAACAGTGACTGGAATGGTGAGCTTAAAAGGTCCATCTGTCACATCCCATCCACACACACTCTGCTCTTAGGCTTAAAAGCATCTTTTGCAAATGAGGTCATCTCTCTCTCTCCCTCTTCCAATTAACACACTGAACAGTCCCATCTATAAAAAGGAACTATCCAAATAGTGAACCAAATTCCAGTTAGCACTGATGTCACGTTAAATGTATCATATGCTTCGTGTGTTATGAAATGGAGTAGATTAGAGTGTTTTTTCATGATTTCATTGGCTTCAAGTGTAATTCAGTATTCATAGTAAAAATGAATTAATTATACACAAAAAACGACATACACAAGCTGCTCTGTATATACCAAACTCCCTGGGACTGTTTTGCAGCATACTTTAGACGTTATAGCAGCTAAACTTTGGTACAGCTTCCCTCAGCCCTCAGGTACAAAAATAAAGATATTATTATTATTATTGAACATTTAAATCATCAACAAATATTTGTTTGATGAATTATTTTTAAAACTGGCGCTTATAAGTAACTTACTGACAATCATATCAGTGAACCTAGTATATGTAGCCAGAGACTCAAGCTGATAAACTCACTCAGAATTCCCAGCTTGAGCTTTGGGTATTGCGAGTTTGTATATAGTAGCCCAAACTATACGCAGTAGGATGAATGATGCTACAGCCTGGTAAGTTGGCAGTGAGAGACTGTTCCTCCAATACCAGATTCACCCTGGGAGCCTGGCATCTTGCAAAAAGGCTCAACATGAGCACCAGGATGTGTTTCAACACAACAATCCTCTGCTTCTCCCTCACATCTCTCTCTCACACACACACACCCACACAAAGAGCTCTTTATGTGGATGTTATTTCACAGGATGGGAGGATATCCAAGCTGCTGGCTGCCCTGGTACCCCCCAAGCTCCCCTCCACAAACACTACATTAACTTGAACTCTTCCATCCTTTACAACATAGACAGGAAACTAAATTCCAGGTATGTGAGGTGAGCCATGATAGGATTTAATTAACGCATGTCATTACCCTGAATTACATGTTTGGCTGAAACATGCTGACATGTTTTTGCTGAGCAATATGATGCTGACGGTTGAGGAGCTGGTAGCTACCACTTACTACTACTTATGTTTATCCTCTTAACTCAGTCTCTCAGTCATTGCTGGCCTGGTCTTCAACCACATGCTAATTTCGTGCTGTTAATTCAGCACCAGTGCACACCTGTCAGAGGTGCTGACACGGTGAACAGGAAAGTACTGACACACAGCAGGGCTCCGTGCTGTTTCGTCCAAGACAGCGCGCCTGGATGCTGAAGTGCGCGCTTTCCGCACGTCTCCGAGGACCAGCTCCTCAAAACGGAGCGACGAAGCATTTCTCCGCTGAATCAACCATCTTCATCGCGATTCATTACACATAACGAGCTTTCCTCATCACCGCAGCCCTCCTGCTGCAATCCCCGCACACATCACGTTGCTCTTATTTACACCCGAATGTAAGAAACCGTTTGCTAGCTCAATGCTGCTCTTCTAAAAACCGCTCGTCACCGCTGCAGGCCGGCAGACAGCCCACCGTCGTACTTACCGCAAAAGCATCCACCTCGCTGGTCGCCATCGTCACAAGTGGCTGTGTGCAGGAATTATGAGTGTTCAGCGCGACCTGCACTCCATCCACATCACACACAGACTCACACTGCTCTCAATATGGCTACTTGAAGGCAACACCCCCTCGGTGCTGGAGGATGATATTACACCAGCTCGAAATATACTAAACTACACCGAGATAGTTGCTTTTGATGAGATTTTACGCGAAATTACGATAATAACTGCTTTGACTGGGTTTGCAACGACTGCCACGGAAAACCTGGTTCACAATGGGAGCACTTTTTAACTATGATTTGTAATTATTTTCAATGGAAATGAAAATTGTACAATTTATTTATTAGAGGGAGTTTTTTCTGCCGCTTTCCAATATTCATCCAGTTTTCTGACTTGAAAACCTGTAGTACGTAATTGTCAAGGTTTATATATTTACACAAAGTGACACTAAACAGTAATATCTGGCCCAGAAAGTGTTTTTATATACGATTATGAAATTTCAGTGGGGTTACAGCAGAGTACAGAGCCTATAAAGAAAATGAACGACACAGTAGGACCGTGGAAAAATGTATGCATTTAATACCTGTTCACGTTACTTTTTCTATTTAATGCTACTTAAATATTTATTTGATAACCATGGTTGAAAATGTAATTTTGCAGAGAAAATATATAATTAAAGGAAAGACTAACCGTGTAAAAAATGCAAAATATTTTAAATAGGCGTCCGTGACCAGCTACAACATGCAGACAGCTTTTAAGATGTTTATTTCCAGTTCTCGTGTATTTATTAATTTCGTTTTTCAATGTAATTTAATTTATAAGCCCTCAATGATGAAATATTCGAGAAATTTAATATATCTGTGGTATGTAAGTGTAACCCCGTATAATATACACACACACATATACATACACACACATCTTAAATTAAGCTAAACTCGTGTACTCCGTAAATAAATACTACGCTGATAAAGAAAAAAATACAGAAGATTTAAGCTTTTATATGAATCCACTGATCACGGGAGGGTCAGCCCTGCACACAGTCCTTTTAACTGGGAGGGCCGCAATAACATACGGGTGGATTTATTTGGAGAGGCGCCGGAAGCAGCAGGTTGGTGCAGGACAGCAGAGAGGGGAGCAGGCAGTGCGGGATTATCCTTTGGGCTCTACTTAAACCATCCGCTATATCTTTTCATATTTTTGCGCCGCCGGGACAACATGGATCTGACCCAAGAGTCCATTTTGTCCTTTTTACTAGAGCACGGAGGCAAAGTAAAGAACTCGGAACTGCTAAACTATTTCAGACTCCGCATCAACTGCAGCGATCCCGCGGAAAAGCAGCACAATAGAGAGCTTTTCAAGAAGCTGGTGAACAGCATCGCTGTGGTCAAACAGATCGACGAGGTGAAGTTTGTGGTGGTGAAGAAAAGGTACCAGGACTTTATTAAAGAGGCGGCACAGGATGTGTCGCAGAAACTGCAGATGGATGAGAGCTTCTCCAGCCAAAACACGAGTTTTTCCTGCACATCTCCAGACCGAGCCGAGCCAGCCAGGACTGACTCAGATATAGAAAACAATAATGTAGGCGACGCCTCAAACTTTAACCCCAGTTCTAACACCGATGTAAAACACATGTCCCTGTGGGAAATGCAGAAAAAGAATGTGTTATCTGGAAACGTGAGTATCGAGGATACGACCACTGTTAAGATCCTGAATATCTCCGGAGATCAGGCGAGCAGAGCGGGGAAATCTGGAGCTGTGTTCGCTGTCATAGCTGTGAAATCTCCAGGGAGAGACTGTGCAGCAGCAGCACTGGACGGATCACACTCCCGAGTGCATCAGCAGATAACTTTAGACAAACCAATTAATTCGAGTGCAAAAGTTTCTACACGACCAGCACCAACTTCAAACGCAAACTTTTCCGCTTGCAAGGGTATATCCAGAGAAATCCAAAGTAAGATGGTCACACACACAGATGACACACACCCACGAGTTTTACCAGAGGTGAGGGCGCCAAACAAGACCACAAGACAAGCAGATGATGCCAAGTACTCAGAGTCTGTGCCTTTGGAGCGACTGGCTCATGAGTGGTTGGTGAAGTGTGCAGCTGGGATGTGGGGACATATATATGCTTTGCTGCTGCAGGACACTGGTTTAGCCCAGAGGAAAGACTTCATGTCAGGGTTCACAGCACTTCACTGGGCTGCTAAGGACGGCAGCAGCGAAATGATACGCAAACTCATGGACATCCCCAGGAAACGTGGCATCCATGTAAACGTCAACACCAAAGCACATGGAGGCTACACGCCTTTGCACATCGCTGCCATACATGGGCACACTGAGGTCATGGTTCTGCTTGTGCAAAGATACAGAGCCAATGTAAACGAAAGAGACAATGATGGCAAAAAGGCCTTTTACTACCTGGGCAAAGGTGCTCCGGCTGAGGTCAGAGCACTTCTGGGAATGAAGCAGAATTTGAAAGCAGAAGATATAGAGAAGTACAGAGAGCAGACGAAAGGCTTCAACACAATCAGTAAACTGTTTCAGCCTCATGGGAAGAAACAAAAGACTAAGTTTGCTCATGACTGGTAAGAAGTATCACAAAACAAGCTGTGACATGAACTATTAAACCTGAAGGAGATAACACTGTTTATACTTTACACCTTATTAAGGCTTTACATATCTTACAGTCTTTCACTGAATTACAGAGGAGTACTTACTGTATTTTGTATGGCACTGCACAGTGTGGTTTTTTTTTAATTATTAATGGTATTTATAATTATCATTGTTTATCTTAAATTTCATGTAAACTGATGTGTTATTTTTCTCACTGATTAACACCACAATGTGTATAGTCATGCATATTTTCATTACCTAATGTGTAGTAAATATTTACAGGTCACTTCTCGATTCCTGACTTTTCAAAGTATGAGGAAATAGAAAAATAGATTGCACCTCCCTACTTCTTGGGAAATAGTAACTGTCAACTCATCAACCTGTAATACATTGTTCTAGTATGCTCATTGCTTTTGTGGGCTGCTGATCACATTTACAATCACTTTTATCATCCACATGAAATCAGTTAGCTTTGTCAAAGGAAAAGGAAACATTCAGTATAGCTGAAGAAACAAATAAAGTTAGGTTTTAACATATTCAACATCTCAGTGTTAGTACATGCAAAGAGTGTGGAATAAAAGCAAAGCAAAGCAGGAAAGAAACTAGTTGGGGTAGTGCAGTGTTTGCATTATACACTTTTTGTCAACAGTTTGTACTGTATGAGGAGGACACTGTTCTGTGGGATAAGCAGTATCAGCCAAAGCTCTAAAACATACTGCAATAAAAACAAAGCAGTTTCCCCATCTTTAAATAAATACATAAGCTTAAACTGTATTCAAAAGCTAATGAGCAAGGAACACTAACTATTGCAGTGACTTTATTAACATTTAATTGCATTGAATTTAATACCTTCAACACAATGAAGTGGAAAAAGCCTTTGCAATATTTTATCTGAGCCATAAATAACTAAACCTAAACTTATTAAAACATATTTCCTTGTTTAGACATGACTGACTAAACATAAATCTTTTTTCAAGACCAGCTATGCATCAAAACATCATTTTGAGATTAAATAACCTCATTTGTTACTTAGCTGACCCAGCCTGAAAACAAGTTTGGGTCTAAAAGGCACTTGGACAATAAAGCCGTATTCAGAGCAGTGCCAGAACAATGTCCTTTGTGTTGTTATTTAGGAAAAGAAGCTGCTTACATAAAGACAAAGGACAGCTCCACTCATAGAAACTGTGTCATGTGATTAAAAAAGGAAATCTCCCACAGAAAGGTTTCCTATGTCCCATGATCCAAGCAAAACTTCTAAACATCAAAGTTTTTCTAGGGTAACTATGTTAGATCATGTTAAGAAAAATGTTTTGTTTTTATATACTTTATATACTAACTGCACTTGCTGTAAATAAACTGATTTTATTTGCTTCAGTACTTGTAGTAAACTGGGGCAAAGTTATAACTAAAGCTCTGAAATGGTCCCTTGAGTTCATAGTTACACTCCAGAGAACACCAGTACAAAAAGCTGTAGTGTGGTGCCATAATTATATGATGTGCCACAAGCGTGGTGTTTGAGAACAAAGTTAGGGATCACAGTTTTTACAATAAACAGAAATCTGTGGGAACACTATAAAAACCAGTGGCTGCAACGTGCCAATCAAGGACAAAACAATTTGTGAGTGGAGACTGTGATATTCTGGACTGATAGTGATACTAACGTTTAAAATAACAATATACCCAATGAAAATATTTAATCACAAATTTAAAATCACCAACTCCATACACAAAGACCCCAGCTGGAACTTGAACCAGACACCATGAATTAACCATGCTAACCGTTGCACCACCATACCACCCCTATAATTTTATCCATCCATACATTTTCACTACTATTTTTTCCAGTTTACCTATTGCAGGATCAACAACTAGAGCAAGTTAATCATTCACAATCACGTTTATACCGATAGCCAGTTTTTTGGATTAAGTTATTGGACTGTGGAGGAAGCTGGAGTACTAGGAGAGAACATGCAATCCCTACATTTAAAGGTACAGTGTGTAAAATCCCACCGCTAGATGTCAGTAGATTGCAGTCAATTGAGTTCTGATTTCTTACCCCTCCTAATTCTAATGTATAATCCTAGCTACAGTGTATGGCAGCCAAGAGAGAGTGAAACATTACATTTAGACTGCTCTATAACAGCAATAGCCAGCTGCTTTGCATTTCTGTACAAAAACATTTTTCTACACACTATATTTTAACATTTTTGAATAATATCACCCCAGAAAAAAAATGCAGCATTTTACATTTTTACCCCTAAGTCCACTCAAAATACTCTGGCTGACGTTCATCTGTAGTAAGTGTAGGCTGTCAGTCCACTGTTTACGTTAGCAATATGCTGGGTGCATACATTTACTCTAGAGGAGGCTTTGTGAAAGGAGTCTGAAATGAGTCAATGAGCCAGTAAAACTCACTTCTGTTAGATGACACTGATATTGAGGATATTCTGAACTTCTCTGCTGCTAAGCACTGCTATATCTGCCAGTG